ARWSAGTTCTCCCTACGTACATTGAGTTCTTTTTTGACGATCAATGAGGAATTGTCTAATGTTGTTTAGTTTACTAAAATAYCTGATTTTCCAAAGATGGAAAAACAAAGAAACTTTCTGACATTATCTCTTCTTTTGGTTGATTCTAAGGCAGGATTTACTGAGTCAGAAAACTAGACATAGAGATATTTCTCGGATTAAAAGTCTATTGTCCGAGGCACACCTTCATTGATCGCAAGGTGTCTGTTATCTAGCTTTCTAGGCAGAAACAAATTCAACAGGAAAAACAGTACTTAACAAAACCAGATCCCAATGAAAAATAGTACGCAAGGACCCATACAACGAGAAATCGCTTGTGCAATAGTGTAAATACCCAAACATCTGCTCAATGACGCAGTAGTTTTCCTTGGAAACGCGATTTTACTAATCAATAATGAAAACGAATCTCGGTACTTTAAGCTGGACTCTAGATATCATGACCACGAACCTTAGCAAATCACATCTGCTTCTTTAGGCGGTTACATATCGGTAGGTAAACCTCTCTCTGACTATTACTCTGTTTTAACAAATTACGCGTTTTGCGCATTATCTTCGTGCGAGCCTTATTCAGTGTTGAATACGTAAAAAAACGTTCTTCCGATGGATGACTGAAAAACGGTGTTAGGTTCGGCATATTTAGTTCGACGTATAATTCAAACATCAAATTGCATTTGGTTCGATACAAATATACTATCTGGTTAGCACGGAGTCAAAGTGAAAGTTCTGTAAACTTTTATTCATATCATCACCAGATATATCTCTAGTTAATTTCGTTAAATTTGTGCATTCTTTATTAAGAAATCTACTTATTAAAAATACCAAAAACCGACGATTCGAAAGTGATGAAATCTATCTGAAATTACCAATAAATTTCTTTGTTTGTTTTGCCAAATAATTTTTACAGTATGAGAAAATTACAACTAGAAATATTTTACAGATTCAAAACCTAGTGTTTAAGGCACAGTGGCTACAGGATGTCTCTGACACAGATTTGTAAGCAGTAAAAAAACTGGCAGAAGAAACAATCTATTTATAACAGAAAATAACAMAACCACACCCGCCAAACTAATCTGAGATCAATGAAAATAATAATGAATAATTAGATCCTGTTCTTCTCTATCAATACTTTTAATTTTAGTCACAAATAAACAAGACAAGCAGACGGTGCTACGGAGATGAACAAAAACCCGTAGAATGATAAAACTAAAGTGTCTGTTTGCAAATTAATGTAAATTTAATCGAAATAGAATAAAAAACTATACACAAAATAACAGAAAAGATGTAAAAATCTTCTAAATACTTATCGTTGTTGAACATTTTGTAATAGCCATATAACCACAAAAGAACGTAATTTTTTTGTTGATGGGCTTTTAGTCTTAAAAATTTAGGGTGTCTTTTGACGTAACAGACCGTAAATCTAGCGTTGAGTCAACGGACAAGTATTGCCACTATTCAGGCAATTCAAAACAATTCTTAAAAACTTGCACAGTAAATTATTTAAAAGAGATTTGTGCAGCTGAAATGCAAATTGAACGAAAAAAATAGGAAAAAGCAGAGAAACTACCCCCACAAAATGCTTTCAATCAGTAAAGTTATTGTTCATCTTATATTGTTGATGTTCACAGTTTGTGGTTTAAACCGATCCTTACTCAGATTCACACTGCAGGAGACTTGCTCTCTGGTTGTTTGTATTAACTGAAGAATGTGCAACGAAGCACATTTTAACATAGGCAACTAACGGCAGCGCCTGATAGTAGTTGTGTAGTTCTACATTGAGCTTAAAAGACTCATTTTCTTCCTGAACACAAGAAAGAGTTGTCATGAAGTTATTTCTAAGAAATGTGGCGATATTGTGGTGATAATGGGAAGTGTCTTTAACCAAATATCTGTATAACTTATATAAATTAAAAACATATGTATAAATATTGGCGCAGAAATAGTACTTGGAAGCGCGTTTTGAGTTGCTAATGAAAACAAATTSATATGACTTTTTAGGTTGATCTAATGTTGTTGAATACAAACGGTGATCAAAAGAAAAAGCCTTCGCCTCCAGACAATTCCACGAGAAACTACCCGTGCTTCCTGACATATCGGTAAAACCGTTTCAGAACTTTACCCTTCTTGCCAAAACCCCTAACTATGTTGCAATAAAGTGTTGCGTAAAGTAGTGATTTTAAAGGCCCGTTTACACTTGTGATTTTTGCASCCCGATTGTCGCTCGACAATAGTGTAGTCAAAGATACGTTACAATAAAAGTCAATTTGCTTTCGGTCAAATTGTGCATATTGTTTTGCTCTAGAAAATACACCAAAATAGACCTTTTTGCTCTATCGGTATTTTCGAAATCCGTGCACCCTAAAACAAAGGGTATAATTATTCGCCCGTGGAATGTGGTTTTCTTTGTTTAAGATGTAATATTGATATGCGTAATCCCTGGTGAATGAGCACTTGTACGGTGTTTGGACAAAAGAAAGCTTTATAATGGACGGTTTCTACGAATATTCTTTATTCCCTGAGGTAAAGTACATTTTTTTTGAACAGTATATTTGAATTATTACAAACCAATATTAAAACATCTTATTATTAAATCTGGAAATAGTCTATCTAGGGAGTCTAGCTCCTCTCCAACATCTCCACAAACAAGCATTGTGGATAATAAACTGTCCAAAATTGCTTCTGCTCATAGCGGCAAGACCTCAGATAGGCATAAGGGACTGCGCAATAGAAATCAAAAAGGTAAATACGACCCCAATCTCGTACCCAGCGCCCTTGTCCCTCTTACTGCGCATGCTCGACGAAAAACAAGAGCCTTCGAGTAAGAGGGACAGTGGCGCTGGGTACGAGATTGATACGACCCCACTTTACCGTTTAGTACGAAGTGCAATATATTAACAAAGAAAACCACATTCCACGGGCAAATAATTATCACCCTCTTTGTTTTAGGGTGCATGAATTTCGAAAATACCGATAAAGCAAGAAAGTCTATCTTAATTGCTGAATCTTTCATAGATACTGACTTGGAACTGATTTCCTTTGTTTAAAGAATTCAACAAAAACAAACAAACAAACAAAAGCAAGTCATGTAACTACAGCAGGAACGTGGAGAGCTTTTCAACGAAATGTGGTGATGACGAGCACTGTGATATCGTTAGACATATAACAAATTGCTACACAGCAGTTTTCCTTGGATTCGTTTTGAGCGATGATTACAAACCCAGCTTAAGTTTGGTAAGGAAACAAAACATTTTGAAGCTGTCTTTATGTGGTGTTGGATGCTATATTTTAGAGATCAAAAATGATGGAATAGACCTAATCGGCTAACGCGTTACCATGTACGTTGCCATCCAATTCAAATCCTCTTGGGAAAAGAACTTTTGTTTCTAAGAATTGAACGATGAAATGAAAATACAACGAACAATGAAACTTACTCCCGGGTGGTTTGAATTGGGTGGAAACGTTTATAGCAATTTTCCACAATTTCCTTTGAGGATCCAGTAATTTTGTTTTTCTCAACAATGTTTATGGTGTTTGGTGATCATTTAATGTCATAATTCTTGCTTCTTCAGACCCAAGTGTTAAACGTATGCTAGTGATTGACTGTCCACTTTCAAGATGAGAATAGAAAATGATGATCCACATTTCCAAATCTTAAAAGGAAACGATCGAAAATAGTAATAAACTGAACAAAGGAGATCAATCAAATAATGTATTGGTCATTAAAAAATTGGCATGATTTTTCAACAAACACCAGTGCTTTGATAAAAGCTATACTTGACGGCAATAATGAACTATCACGTGAACTAATTACTCAAGGTGTAAACACCAATGTCGCAGATTATGAAGGACGAACACCTTTGATGTGCGCTGCATTCAAGGGCAATAAAGAGATTGCAGAAATACTAATTGATGCAGGTTCTGAAGTCAATCAAAGAAATCATAATAAACAAACGGCCCTCTTATATTCAATTGCAAATAGCAACGAAGAAGTTGCACGACTGTTGATTGAGAAAGGTGCTGATGTCAATGTATCTGATAAATACGGACAAACTCCTATATTCGAGGCAGCTAAAAATAGCAACGAAGAGGTTGCACGAATGTTGATTGAGAAAGGTGCTGATGTCAATGAATCTGATAAATACGGACAAACTCCTATATTCGAGGCAGCTAAAAATAGCAACGAAGAGGTTGCACGAATGTTGATTGAGAAAGGTGCTGATGTCAATGAATCTGATAAATACGGACAAACTCCTATATTCGAGGCAGCTAAAAATAGCAACGAAGAGGTTGCACGAATGTTGATTGAGAAAGGTGCTGATGTCAATGAATCTGATAAATACGGACAAACTCCTATATTCGAGGCAGCTAAAAATAGCAACGAAGAGGTTGCACGAATGTTGATTGAGAAAGGTGCTGATGTCAATGTATCTCATAAATACGGACAAACTCCTATATTCGAGGCAGCTAAAAATAGCAACGAAGAGGTTGCACGAATGTTGATTGAGAAAGGTGCTGATGTCAATG